CTCGCCTAGCAAATTAGGGAGGCCCTGAGCAATTTAACGAGATGCTGTAAAAAAGGACTGGAGATGTCGCTTAATGGTAAAAGCACCCCTTGTTCAATTCCCAGTAATAACAATAACAAGAAAGTGAATCAGCCAGGCCATTGGGCACACCTGTAATCCCAGCTACTCAGGAGGATCACAGGTACAAAACCAGCCTCAGCAGTTTAGCCAGGCCGTAAGTAATTTAGCAAGACCCTGTCTCTAAATAAAACATATAAAGGGCTGGGGATGTGGCTTAGTGGTTAAAGTCCTCTGGATTCTCTCCCCCAAAAAAGAAAGAAAAAAAAATCTGGTTAACTGTACTATTGGTCTTTTTTATCCTTGGAGATAAGTAACTGACAACTTGTAGGGACTATAATCTGTTACCTAATATCAGTATGTAATTGGTGAATGTTATTATCGTAAATTTTCACAGTTCAAAATGCATGCTTAGGTAGGCTTTGTTTTTCTGGTATTGGGGATTGAACCTGGGGATGCTCTACCAGAGCCACATCCCCAGCCTTTTACATTTTTTTTTTTTTAATTTTGAGATAGGGTCTCCCTAAATAGCTGAAACTAGCCTTGAATTTCAATCTTCATGCCTTAGCCTCTGTTGTAACTGGGATGCAGGTGTGTCACCAAGCCCAGTTTTTAAGATGATTTCAAATAGACATTATGAAATACTATGCTAGAGCAACTTACCAATTTAGTGAGACCCTGTTTCAAAAATAAAAAGGACTGGGATATAGCTCAGAGGGATGTAGCACCCCTGGGTCTGATCCCTAGACAGAGGCTAGGACATCATAAAGGATCAAATAAAAGGATTTCTATAAAAGCAGTTGTGCACATAATTTGATAAACTAAAGCTATCTCCTAGCCCCCCAAAAAAGAAAGGAAAAAGGACTTATCCCTGAGTTAAGAGTTAATTGGAGGGGCTGGGATTGTGGCTCAGCGGTAGAGTGCTCGCTTAGCTCGGGCAGGACCTGGGTTCGATCCTCAGCACCACATAAAAATAAAGGCATTGTGTTGTGTCCATCTACACCTAAAAAAGAAAATATTAAAGAAAAAAAGAGAGTTAATTGGACCACTTAGGAGGCTGAGGCAGGAGGATTTCAAGTTGAAATCAGCCTCAGCTATTTAGCAAGATCCAGTTGCCCTGGGTTCAATCTCCAGTACCCCCCCCCCCAAAAGGTAATTAGAAATTCAGGTTAGTTCTGTAACTTGCCCAGGTAATATGTCATTGTGATAGGGACAGTCCAATGATTGAATTGGTACATCATTTAGAAATGGCATATCAGAGGGAACACAGGGAGGTAAGCATTCAAGATCGGACAGGGAGATCAGAAGGGAATTTGCTATTTCACCACTTTTTTGAGATCATTAAATTGATGTTTTATAAAAGTAGATGAAGAAGAGGTGAATCTCCTCTCTTTGGTTTTACTTTTCATTTCTGATGATAAATATATTTTCTTCAAGAATGCTATATTTGCAACCAACATGACAAAGAATTCTAACTGGAAAGCCAAATTAATTTTCTTTCAAGGACAGATGTTTACAATTGTGGGATATTGGTAAATGGATTATTACTACTCAGCAATATGAAAGAATGAACTACCGATTGAACAGTGTTAATTTCTAAAAGGTGATGTGACATAATTGAGAACATTGTTATTCTATGGATAGAGTTCAAAAACAGGCAGTCCTATTACTTTGGCAGGAGATGGATTGGAAAGGGGCAAAAGGGAACTTTCCTGGGGTGTTGGAAATGCTCTGTTACAGGACACATTTACATAATTGTGGACACTTAACAAGTTCCTTATAAAATCTGTGCATTTCACTGTATACAAATTATACCTTAATTAAAAAAAACTTTCTACAAGTTTTGTTTGCTGGAACTTCTTTATAAGTCATAATTACTTCTATGAGTCTGATTATTTGAAGACTTCTTTCTCATCCTAAAACTTCTATATTTGCAGTTAGTAATGTGCATTGCTTTTGTTCTAAGTAACTGCAGTGTATGAGCAAACACAAAATCTTTTAGGAGTACTGTACTCTTGCCCAGTTAAGTAGGGTGAAATCGCCTGATAAAATTTCAGCATAAAGGGGCTGGGATTGTAGCTCAGAGGTAGAGTGCTTGCCTTGCACATGGGTTCAATCCTCAGCACCTCATAAAAATAAGAAAAGATATTGTATCCATCTTAATAATCTTAAAAAATTCAGCCTAAATATAATTACATGAAGAAGGATGCAAAACGAATGTGACTTTTTCCTATTGTCTTTGCCTAAAAGGCCAAATTATACTTATATATAATTATATATATAATAGCTGGGTTCTTAACTAAAACCAGAGGGTAACATTTTTGGTAAAAAGTGCCTTAAACACAAGAGTTAAGCTTGTATAAATTATAAAATTTTAACTGCCTAATTGCTTAAGATATTTCCATTGAAGAGAAGTGTTAGATGTGAGCAATGGGATAAGAAAACATCCTGGGGCTGGGGATGTGGCTCAGGTGGTGGCGCACTTGCCTGGCATGCGTGCAGCAGAAAACTAAAAAAAATAAACATTAAAAAATTCAAAAAAAAAGAAGAAAGAAAACATCCTGCTCCCATTCAGTGAGACTCTATGCACATTAAGGAAAAAATTTGGTTTAATTTTAAACACAAAGATCTTAGCACGAATAAATGAATAACAAAAAGTATTCTTGTCAGCTAAGGATTTGTTTCCTTGTTTTAGGTTATCTGCAGTGGAATACAGGAAATAATTGCAAATAATATTGGGTGCAAATCCTTTAGAAAGAAGTTGAAGAAAAGGTACATTCACAATAATTACGAAAATTTTCACCTTTAAGACCAACACTTTGAACTAATTCTACAGGGAAAGAGTTTTTATGTGGTGTAAGGATTGAACCCAGTGCCTCACACATGCTAGGCACTCATGCCTCACACATGCTAGGCACTCATGCCTCACACTCTGCCACTGAGCTATAACCCCAGCCCTAGCTCATGACTTTTTATTTTTTTTGAGAGAATTTTTTAATATTTTTTAGTTTTTGGCGAACACATCTTTGCATGTGGTGCTGAGGACCGAACCCGGGCTGCACGCATGCCAGGCGAGCGCACCACCGCCTGAGCCACATCCCCAGCCCACATGACTTTTAATATTTATTTAGTAGTTATTGGCGGACACAACATCTTTGTGTGTGGTGCTGGAGGATCGAACCCGGGCCGCAAGCATGCCAGGCGAGCGCGCTACCACTTGAGCCACATCCCCAGCCCCCCACACGACTTTTTAAATTACCTACACAGCATCAAAGTGGCCATAAAAAGGTAAAATAGATAACTGCTTCACTAGAGCATAAACAGAAATCTTGTTTTTTTTCCAGGATCATTTTTTTCACATCATCAAAGACTGTAAGCTTTTTTCTTTTTAAGGCCCTTTTAGGTTTGGAAAGATTTAAAATTTGTTATTTGGTCATTATTCTAGATTGGAAGGTAAATCCTTCACTACACAGCGCCAGTATCCAATGTTTTGATGCTATTATACTTTAAGATGCTTTGATGGAAAGTGCCTATGTCAAGTATAAAACTCCATCAGTCTTCTACCCAGTATGTGCCAAATGTGGTGTGCAAAACATTTAAGGAAATTCTTCTTTCACCAAACCATACTGACACATTTAATGGATAGTGTTGGAAGCCTTATTTAAAAGTAGGAAAATGTAGTCAGTTACTGGGCAGTCACTAAAGTTTACTTAAAACTAAAAATAGGGGCTGGTATTATGGCTCAGTGGTAGAGTGCTCGCCTTGCATATGCAAGGCCCTGGGTTCGATCCTCAGCACCCACATAAAAATAAGGGTGCTGGGTCCAACTACAACTAAAAAAAATATCAAAAAACTAAAAATATAAATTGCTGCTTTATCACAAGCTTGCTCATCTTTTGTCTAAGCTAAGGCTGGCTTAATGCCAAACATCTATACTAGAGACCAACTACCAAATTTTAGGTGCTTTCATCTAAAAATAGTCAAAATAGGAACTCATGGTCTAAAGAGGAGTCTGCAAAGGGACCTATTGCTACCATCCACTGCATAAGACCACCTCTGCTTATCAGTAATTTTTCTTGCCCTTGTACAATAACGATGAGCAAGTACCATTTGTTCTCTTGATCTTTGTTTGAGGTCTTGAATGTATGAAGCATCTCCTATAATACTTCCTGGCGAGCGCGCTACTGCTTGAGCCACATCCCTAGCCCTCCTATAATACTTCCTATGGAGCTGCTTTTTGTTTTGTGACATATCATATATATCATACAAAAGCCTTGCAGAGAGGGCTGGGGATGTGGCTCAAGCGGTAGCGTGCTCACCTGGCATGCGTGCGGCCCGGGTTCAATCCTCAGCACCACATACCAACAAAGATGTTGTGTCTGC